CTTAATAATTATTCTTTTTTGTCTCCTATTTTTTCTAATTAATCTGATAATTCATTTTTAAGATTATTTAAATGATCTCTATCCAAATTCCATTTAGCTCTTTCTTTTTCAAATTCAAAAATAAGAGTAGACCTTTTACTTTCAACCTCCTTATATTTTGTTTCTAATTCAACTATTTTAGCTTTTAAGTTTTCCCTTTCTTATTCTAACATTCTTTAATATTCAAAGATCTTATAATCTCTATCTTACTTAATATTTTCTATTTCTTATTATAATCTCTTTTCATTATCTAACATTTCAGCAAACTTTTTTTCTGATAATAATTGATTACCAATTTTTCCATGTTAATCAATTAAAATTTTATCTTTATGTGTTTTAACTTCTTTCTATAATCTTCTAATTTTATCTTCATAATCTTAAACTATTCTTTAATGAGTTTAATTAGCTTCTTCTATTTATGATTAATATTTTCTTTCAACACTTAATAATAATTCATTTAAATTATTTTCTTATTCATCTTTTTCATTTGATCTAGCTCTTTATAAATGCATTAAAGTCATCTCAAATTTTTTTAATGCATCCACTAAATCTTATTTTGCCTATTCCTTTTATTATTCTAAAAATTAAAATTTGCCTTCCCACAAAGCTTTATCTCTTTCATAACTAGTATGGATTTCACTCTTATCTTATTCCAATTAAAGATTAAGTTATCTATATTTTTCTAATTCTTATTATAATGATTTCTTCTCTGCAGCTATTTATTCTCTTAAGGATGCCTATTATTAAGCAACACTAACAGATTCATCCTTTATTTTTGATTCTAATTCATTCTTTCTTTATTCTAAATGTCCTAACTTTTCAGTAAGAATTGCTTTCTCTCTTTCTAATGTTGATGCTTATTTATTATATTGATATTCACTTTCTTTCAATTATTTCTTAATCTTCTCATATTTAGTTTCAATTATTGATTTATCTTCTTATGCTCTTTCTAATTTTTATTCTAATTCAACAGAATATTCATTCTTTTATTATTTAATTTTCTCATCAAACCTTGATTACTAAGTATCTATTTATTTTTATAAATCTTCTATCTTCTTCTATAAAAATTCATTTTATTATTAAATTAATGCTGTTTCTCTACCATATTCAATTTTTTTCTCTAAAAATTCATCATTCATTTTTTAAAGTCTTGATTTAGTTTCTTCAAATCTATCTATCAATTCTCTCTTTTCTTCTTACCATTCTTTTCTAGTTTATTCAAATTATTATTCTTTCCTTGTTTTCTCATTTTCTAATAAATCTTTTTTTTATTATAATGCCATATATTCCTTCTAAAGATTATTTAATTAACTTGATAGAACATCAATCTTAGAAATTAAACTCTTTCTTTCTGTAGTAAAAGAATTCATTTATTATTCTAATGTTGCATTATTATTATTCTAAAGTGATATTAATTATTCTTTTGTTTCTTTAATATGTTTTTCAAAGATTTCAATAGTTTATTATTTTAAAGCTATTTCATGATCATATTATTAAATTGTATTTGTATATTATTGCACTTAATCTCTTAAATCATCCTTTAGAGTTTCAATTTCTTCTTCATAATTTTATTCAGTTTCTCTCAATTTATGATAGAATTCTTCTTAAGCGGCTTAAAATTTCTTTTCACTTTTTTCTTTTTCTTCACAAATTCTTCTTTCTAATCTTTCTCTTTCAATTTCATAAAAGTTTTTTAATTATGTCAAAGATTCCTCTGCTTTCGCTTGAGCTTAGTTAACTTCTCTTGCTGTTTTTGTATCTGCTTCATCCATAGCTTATTCCAATGATTTAATCTTTTTTTAATATCTTAACTCTTATTCTTTTAATATTGATAATTTCTATCCATCTAAAGTTTTGTTTTATTCAAGTAATTTATTTCTGTGTTCTTCTGTAGCTTAGAGTTATTCTTTAAGGTTCTCTATTTCTTTAATTAGATCTCCAGTTTCAAACTTAACTTTTAGTTCCAATTCACTATTTCTCTCATTTAATTAATCTACTTATTATTATAATCTTTTCTTAACATTTTCATATTCATTTTCTATATTTTTAAGATCTTTTTTATGTTATTCTCTTAAATCATTCATTTTTACAGTATCAACCTTATAAGTTGATTCATTACTTGAATTCTCAAAAGCCTTCATAATTGCTTCATGTGATTTTTTATTTTCTTCAATTTATTTTTTGTATTCATCTAATTAAACTTCCATAAATTCCATCTTTTATTACATTAAAGCCTTATCTTTTTCACTATGACTTTTTGTTTATTTCAATTAATCATCCTTAGCTTTTATTAGATCTTCTAATCCTTGAACCTTTTCTAATAATTCATTAACTTAATTATTAGCATCATTCTTTAACATTTATTACATTTATTCCTCATTTCTTCTATATTCTCTAAGTTCTCTTGTTAATCCTTATATTTATTCATTCAATTCGAAATTTTACTTGGTTAAACTTCTTTCTTTATGTTCAAACTTTTTGAAATCATTTTCAAAATTAGATTCTTTCTCAATTAATTCATTTTCCATCTCATTCAATTTCTCCTATAAATCATTGAGTTTCTATTATAATTATCTAACCATTTAATCAGATTTAGTTTATTAATCCTTTGATTATAAACTATGTTCTTTTCTGAGATTTTTAATTTCATTTTAATATTCAACTTCTTTTGCATTCATTTCATTAACTAATTTCTCAAAGAAAGTAATTTTTTATTCCAATAGAGCTCTTTCTTTCTCAAACTCAGAGTTTCCAAAAAGAGTATTTCTTTCCATATCCTTATTGAATTCTTCTGCTTTTATAACCTATCCCTTTAATTCTTAAATTTATCTAGTTAATTCAATCTTTTCATTTTCAGATTCTAATTTTAAATCCCTTTCCACTTAATCCTTTTATATTTTAAGTTCTTCTAAATTATCCCTGGCAACTTACTCCTTCAGTTCTATTTCACTTTTTTCACTTTCTACTTATGCCAATTTCATCAACAAATTATTTTTATCTTTCAAACTATCTTATCTGACTTCTTTCAATTCCAATTCTAATTTTTTTTGGGTCTCAGAAGCAACATTTTTCATCATATCTGTCTCTTGAGCATATTATCTAATAAAGAGATTGGATCCTTCTATTAATGCTCTTTATAGAAATTCTAAAATGATTTAATTTCTAGTTCCTACTCTAGGTCCATTTTCAATAAAAAAGTTATAAAACATTTTAATATCTTTCTCATATTCCCCAAAAGTTTTATATTCTCCTAGTTTAAGTTTTCTATCGATAGGTTAGAATTCTTATTAAATAAATTAAGAACACATTCTTGAGCCTTCTCTATCATTTTCTTATTTCACTACAGCAAATCTTTATTTAATTCTTCTTGATAATTCTAATTTATATTCATCAGCATCCCCAACACATTTCTTTTTAAATAAAGCAAATGCTTATTCCTTTAAACTTTTATTAAAGGCTTTTAAATCTTCATTAGAAATTGGGAATCTATTGTGAAGATTTTCTTTAAGAATTTATTCATAGGTATCAAATGCTTCAGCAACTGCTTTTTAACATTCATTTTTGCAAATATAAGTCCAAGCAGATTCAATAGCAGGTACAGCACCATTATTAATGGCTGTAACATAAGAACGAATTAAATCACAATACATTTAACCTGAAAGTGTCTTTCCATTCAACATCTTTGGTCTGATTCTATTGAGTATTTTTTTTCTTAGATTAATAACCTATTCAAAAAATTCAGGTCTTAATTTATCAAAATCTAAATTCTCTAGATTTTAAAGACTGCTTTCTTCTGTCAAAGGTCTTACTAATGTAATACAATCTCTATCTTTAAAAAATGTTGTCAACAATCTTCTAATTTTATTCTTTTAATCAATTCCATCTGATGATCCCTTCTATACAAGAAGTGCATTTTCTAAATAATCCTTTGATGTGATTTATTCACTATTCTTATCCATTAATTGAAGAGTAAAATCTCTTACAACCCAATAAAATTGTGGAAAGTATTGTGACAAATCTTCAAGATCTTAAAGGGATTACCCACTAAAAATAATAAATTATTATTTTACCTCTTTAATTAAATATTTTTAGTGAGATTAACTACAAGACTAAGATTTTGGAGGGCATTTTCATCAATACTGCCAACAGAATTGTAGATGAAACATGATGTCAATAGAATAGTTAAAGAGAAGATTCTAATATCATGTGTAGAGTCTTCATCTGGAGCACCAAGTCCTTCACTATCTACAACTAAGATTGAGCAACTTTCTCCATCAATTGTTTAACCTAATAATGGTTTGCCCCACATCCAAAGTCCTTTAGTACATGGTAGTACTGTTGGACCAACACCAAAACCATCAGATCTATTAAGCAGCATTCTATTGAGGAGATATGATTTTCCTGTTCTATACATACCTGCGACTCCAACAATTCCTATAGGTGATGGAATATTTTTTATTATTTCAATCGCATCAGGGTTTACTTGATAAGCTGTTGTGATTTAGCAAATATTTACTTTGAGTTTCTTATTAATAAAAAATAAGAGGCATTGCTTCTTCTTTGAATGATTTCTTCATTTTGTGTAAAATTTGAATTTAAAATTAATGAAATGTATAAATAAATAATTAACTGCTATTAAACATAATTGTTCAAAGTAATTTATCAATATAATATTCCTAATGTTTGATTGATTAAATTGATTTAAAATATAGTAAAAATTAATTGTATTTTATATAAAGTTGGTAATTATTATGAGTAGTCTAAATTTATAAATTTCAAAAATATATTGTATCATATAACTAATTGATTAAGTTAAGATGATAATGTCTAATAAATTGTATTTAAGTTCAAAGAAATTAAAGATAATATCATAAACTTAGTGAAGTATTTGATGGATAATGGAGAATCAAGAGATTTATTTGATTTTTGGATCATTAAATTTAATAATAAAATATTAAATAATGCACAATCCTTAAGATTAATTAAGAAAAGCTTTGAAACGATACAACAATAATGGCGATAAGCCTAATAATAATCGTAATTGTAGATCTCAATAACTTTAAATGCCTTAAGTTCCTAAAGGAATGTTGAGTATGAATAGCGCATAAAAATCAGAACGAAATGCTAAATTAAGTGATACAGGTAGATAACAAATATATTTTAGATACAACTGATGTGACTCATTATAATCTTAATTTCTCATAACCAATTCAATCCTCATATTAAGTAGAACATTTAGATTTAAGTTTCTTTAAAATTTAACCTTGTAAAATTCCGGGTAATCATAGTCACAAACATTGTCCATTCTTCCATAATGCTAAAGATAGAAAAAGGTATAAGCATAATAAAAAATTAGAAATAATACATAATATTCAGCAGAGTTATGTGCATATGTTGAAAGTAATTAATAATGTCCATATGGTGATAATTGTAATAAGGCACACAATAGAGTAGAATAACTTTATAGAGCAGACAATTACAAAACTAAATTCTGTTCATATTATCCAAATAATATTTCTTAATGCGATTATGGAAAATTTTGCTCTTTTGCACATTCTGAAGCAGATATAGTTATTGAATTGATTCATAATTTAGAATATGATGATGATTTCTTTATGTTTTATTATAAAACTGTATGGTGTCCTTTTAACCTTACTCAACATGATAAAGCTTTATGTGTTTATGCTCATAATTGGTAAGATTTTCGAAGAAAACCATAAATATATTAATATCATCCAATTCCTTGTCCTAGTTGGAACACTGCAGAATATATTTTAGAATATTATAATGGATGTTAGGAAGGATTTAATTGTGGGAAATGTCATGGTTGGAAGGAACTTGAATATCATCCTATGTTGTTTAGAACTAAGTAATGTATAAATTAAAATTGTTCAAAGATTGATTGTTCATTTTATCATAATAATTAAGAAAAAAGGTAATAATATAATATATTTTAGATGTATTGATTAATTATCTTAATTTAGAGTATTTAAAATAGTTCCTAGGAATAGAATTGTATAAAACATTTTTAAAGTTCGAGATAAGAGTTTATTAAATTCTTAAAGAAATGTGAGTAATAAATCTTAGGATCTAACATTAAGTTATTAGAGACATTGTAGTACTAGTGATTAGCAATGGCTTGGACACAATTTACAAAATAGTTTTTAATATGAATAAGATTCGGATGAAGGTAAACAAAATAGTAAAGGATAACATTATCAAACTACTTTAATTTCTATTTAAGAAAGAACAGGTATATATATTTAATTAGAATATTAAGATTCTGATGAATTAAAAGATTTAAAAGACTTAATGAGAAAGAAATCAAATTCAGTTGTTGATGATAAATAAAATAATGATGATAATGAACATGTTCGTACAGTTTTGAAAATGATTGACATGGACCAGTGAATAAATATATTTTATATAATTCAAGAACTCTTCCTAAGAAAACAATATACATAATTAAAAATATATTTGAAATCAATGCAAGGCAATTAAGGTTCCTAAAAGAAAGATATTGAATTTGGTTCTTGCCCTTTTTCAGAAGCAATGAAACCACCTAAAGGACATGAATAGTATACAGATAAATCCAAATGTCCATTCTAATAAATGTAGCAACAACCAGAGATCAAAATTGCAGATGGAAGTGCTGAAAAGAAAAAAGAGAAAAAAGAAAAGTAACCCAAAGGAGGATGTCCATTTATGTCAAGTGAAAAAAAAAGAAATCCGCCACTAGCCCATCTTGAAGAATAATATGACACTTATTATATAAGTCCTTTGAATTATCTACTTGATACTCGTGGATTATGGATGTTGGCATTTGATTCTAAAGAAGTTAAAAAAGGTAAGGCTCTCTATAATTCAATCTTAGGTCCAATTAAGGATAGAAGAAAAGTATTTGATACATATCCAACTTATTTAAAAAGTACATTGTTTCATGATGATGAAAACACAAAAAAACTTAGATAATGTGAAGTGGCCTAACGATTTTTTGTTTATGATAAGTTTAGAGAAAAAGGTATTAATAATATTCATAATCAGGAAATAAATTATTGCAAAAATAAGAATATGATGAAGCTATCAGATATTATGAAAGAGCTTTAGGTTGTTTCCGTTATTTGGAAGTAGTAGAGCCACCTGAAGAAGAATCTGATGAAGAAGAAGCTAATCAATAATAAGATACTTCAAATATGACTGAAAAGGAAAGAAAAGAACTTGAAGATATGAAAAAATCAGCAAAATAATATAGAAAAGAATAAAAAGAATTCAAAAAATAATATAAATCATTAATGACTATTTATACAGATGAAAATGTTAAATATAATGGTGTTGAACATATTCAAGTAATCATTTTATACAATTCTTTAAGGATGAAGCTGATAAAGAAATGTGTAATTCAATTATGTATGGTCTATATCTCAATATGTCTGTTTGTTATATGAAAATGTCACATTTTGATTTAGCAAGAAAGATCTTAGATGATGCAGGTGTTATTTAAAAGGAAAATTCATAATATTTATTTAGATATTCTTAAGCAATTTTATATGATAAATGGTCTACTTATAAAGATCTATTAAAAGCAAAAGATTTAATTGAAAAAGCAATAAGTTTATCAAATGTTGAAAATATATTCAAATAGGGTCCTGGAATTTTGAAACTGATGGGTTTAGAAAATGCTAAAGAAATTTATGTTGAACATGCACATAGAGTAATGGAAGCATTGAAAAAAAAGAAATAATAAGTTTAAGAAATTGTTGAACCATTATTTTTAAGAGCAAAAGAAATTGATGAAATTGAATAAGAAATGATTGAAGATGGGAAAGTACCTTATGAAGAAGGTGTTACAGATGTTGTTGATCCAGAAGATTTGATTCAATAACCAAATGAAACAGATAAACAATTTTTATATAGAGTATGCATGCCATAATTGACATAAGAACATTAAGAATATGAAATTGTTAAAGAAATGGTTAACAAATATTATAGAATAATTGAGTTTTATGCTGTAATGAAATTATTTAAAATATTTAGGAATAAAAAAAATATGATTAAGTAAAGATTGCCAAATAGGAATTATAAAGACTATTAGAAACAGTATAAACAATGTCATTTTATATGAATTTGGATCTTATTGATTATGAAAATGATGAAATACTTAAAGAACTTGTAAATAAACATTAATTAAACTTTACAAACAAAAAGTATGTCAGAAGATTGATAAGACTTTGTAGAGAAAATGTAACTGAAATCTTTGGATAAGGAAAATTCAATTTCGAAGTATATATTAAATCAATATTTAAGGTGTTTGAATATGCTATGACAGATTACTTCAAGAAAAAGAGAGAATAAGAGGAAAAGGAAAGAGAAGAGTACCTAAAATAACATCCTGAACCTGTAAAACCAAAACAAGAATCTTCATTTTTAAAGAAAACATTATTTTCAACAGAATTTTGGATGCAAGTATTATATTTAATCTATTATTATTAGATGCTCGTTTTATTATTGGTAATGGGGGGAATGTTTTATTTTAATAGTAACACAGGATTTCTTGGCAAACTCTTCTCCCTCAAAAAATGAGAGCATACTTGAAAATGAAAAAATAGATCATTATATTTATATATTTTATTCTATTCCCTTTTTAATTTTATTATTTTATGGATAAATTGATCATATAAAACAATATCTATTAATTATAAATAATTATTATTATCTATCTTTAAATCAAATCATAAATAGAATAAACATTGTTAATATTTATTTCTACATCTAATTTATTCTTAGATTTATGATGTAAATTGCTAGATAATACTATATTGAAAAAGCTTGTGGTCTTGAATATGATGTGATTAATTATTCTATTGAAATCATACACTGATATATATATTTAATTTCCAAAAGTAATCAAAAACTCTAATTTTATCTTCAATTTTTAATAAGTATATTTAAAGTATAAGAATGATGATATAATCTAACTAAAATACAAGATTACTTAGTTGAGTCAGTTTATACAACCTATCTTGCATTTTTATATTTCAAATTTCTATAAAAAAGCATGTATATGATATATTCTTAATCTATTAGATAATAAAATTTTGATAAATAATTATCAGAAGGTAGTGCGTATCAAGTAGGCAAATTTCATTACTCTACATTTCCAAAAAAAAATAGACTTTCAAAAAGTTTACTTTCATTTTAAACTAAAATTATGTATAATTGAAGAAACTAAAGTAAATCATAATAGTACAATATGGCAATAATAAAAACCCATAATTAACTACCAAAAATAAATAGTATAACATTAAACTTCATTCAATGATAAATAATGAGTATACACTTAATAAAAGAAATAGAATAAAATAAGAATAATAAAGGAAATTTGAAGATGCTTTTATATTAGAAGCTTTAAAATTCACTTAATTATTATGAACATTTACATCTTAGATTCAATTTTGAATTGATGTATTATATTATCTATCTATGCTTTATATTTGCATAATTTATTTTAATTGATATAATAATAAGAAAATTATATTATTTTTAATATAATTTTTTTTAAGTGAAAAAGTTAATAAAAAAAATTAAGAATGTTTGAATTTCTTTTTGGAATTTATATTATAATTGAGAATTACAAGACTTTTAAATTTTGAGATATTATGAATTTTCAACTCTTGATATATCATGAATCATTCTAAATATCATTAATATTTGAAAATGACATTTTTTTATCAAATAGAATTAAACTACTATACCTATCAAGCCTTTTTTAAATCTAGTTAAGAAGATTATTATAAATAATTTTTTAATTACTTAATGCTTAAAGACTATTAAGACTATTACTCTCATTTTTCTGATAAAAGAGTTAAGGAAAGAAGTGTTGATGAAGCTTTATATAGAGTAAGAGAATGGAGAAGAATATATGAGTAAGGTATATCGTAAGAGTGTAATAAGAAATCAAGAATCACACTTTAAGAAGCTGCAAACATTGTGAAAATTCCAAAAAAAACATTAGAAGATTACATATAGATATTCAATAAAGTAAGTTTGATGGGTCAAAAAATTGAAGATTTTTCAAATAAAAAAATGGGATTTCTTAGAGCTTTTATAAGAAAAAATAAAGGTAAAATTAGAAAAGCTGCTCTGATAAAAAAATAAAATAAAAAAGATTCTATTGATGTTAAAAGTGAGGATTCATTTTCATAAAAGATAAAGATTGAATGTTAATATTCAAGGACATATTCTATCAAAGAAGAATATGAACCAAGCCATTTAAATTAAAATGTAAAGGAAGAAATTAAAGAAGAATAATCAGAATCATACAGCCAAAACATATTCTCCACCAATATGAAATTTTGAATATCAATTAAATTTCTTTATATATTTTTTTGATAGTATTCTTTTTTATGGATTTCACCAAACTGAAAAAAGCAAACATCTATCCAAAAAATTTAAAATAATTATTAATAATCTCTAAATATAGATATAATTAATTAAAAATAATACTACATATGATTTCTAAATTACTTTATAAAATTAATCTCTATATAAATTAATATATTAATAATATATATATATATGATTTCACCATTCACCTCCCTCAAATACACTATCATCTTCATCATCTTCCCTATTACGTCTATTACGAGCATTTGGATCTAAATTTACTCTTGGATCAGCATTCATACTATCACAATCCAAATTTATGGCTGTTAATAATTACTTCTTCAAAATCTATATTTTAATATATAATTTAATTACATCTTTGCTAGAATAATTTGGTAATTCTAAATTAAAGAAACAAGTATCTGCTTTTGGTAAAGCTTTATTAGGTTATTTTGTATTAACAGTTGAAGGTTTTATCATAAATCTAATTTAATTTCTATCAAATTCTTCATCATTTGAAGGTAATCTTTCTTAACCCCAACAAAATTTAATAAATCTCAATTTCTCTTATTCTGATAATTCATAAAGTGCCTCCCAAAAGTATTTGATTCTTTCACTATTTTCATTTAAGTCTCCAGAATATCTTGTATGTCTCTTTAACAGATCTACATCTACAATAGGTCTTCCACAAACCCATAATTCTAAATCTTCTGCTGATACCCCTAATATATGATATAAAAAGAGATATACAATTTAATAAAGGTGAAGGAATTATTTTGATTAATCCTTTGATTAAACTTTCACATTACAACTCACTTTCAGTGCATTTGACTTCTATTAATTTATTAATGTACTCAAGTCTTTCTTCATATTTAACTGGTATTTTACTTCCATTCTAAAGAAATAGAATAAAATATATAAAATTACTTCTTTTAATTCCTATATACTTTTATCAGTTCTCAATGTAACCCAATTTTCAAAAATATTTTCTTCAAATGTTGATTCAGGACATTCTTACATAAAATTAATTAAATTGCACATTGTTGCATCTATTTATTCAATGTCTTCAAATGTAATTTTCTCACCTACAATTTATTTCCAAAATATTGATGGTAAATCTAAAGAGAAATGAGTAGCTGTTCTAATTGCAATAGCCATCAAAACTCCAAGGAATTCATATAAATGTAAATAATAATTAGATCTTGCACTTGGATTCAAAACAAATTTATCTTTATGATTTCCTAATTTTGCTTAATTATTAGTTGAAGGATATAATAATAATGATGATGTTTATAATTCTTTACTAATATCAGCAAAAAATTATCTATATGGTCCACTTTCTCCTTAGACATCCTCACCTTTGAAATTAACTTCAAATGCCAAGAATGGATCAGTTCCTTATGGTTTTATTGGTCTTAATAGAGTAGGAGGAATATTTTTCATTTATTCATATGCCATAGTAAATAAGTAATCTTATTGATTTACTTTTCCATTTCGATTAGCTAAACGAATACGTTCAACATTAATCTTTGGTGGTGAGTCTCTACTAATACTTGTTTTATTTAGAACTCTCTAAACTATATCTACTTTTGTAGGAGTCATACAAATTTATCTTAAGACTTGCATATAATTGCCCATAGACAAAAAGTTTGTATTTTATTGGAATTATTAAGATGTACCAATTGGAACATCCATATTAATAAATTAACCACAAGTTTCTAAATAACGATTAAATAATTTGATGATTGCCCAAGATTATCTAATAACTAATAATGGAGCATTAACAAGATCCTAATATTTGGTTAAACAATTAATAAAATCTTAATAATTAATAGCCTATTCATCTATCCTATTCCTTATGTTTTTAGGATTGTAACTTTTTACAGCTTTAGTTTCTTTACAAATATCAAATTCAATTAATTTAAGTAGATGTTTCATCTATTAAATTGGTAAAATTTGAATAGTCTTTGGATTGTAAATTAATTAATAATGAAAATCATAACCTAATGATTCTAAATATTTCCAACTTTCTATTGCATCCATACAACTCATTTCTTCTAAATATATAGGATTGATTTATTTTTTAAAATATTCTAATCTGTTATATAAGAATTCTTGTAAAAAGGATGTAACTTTTTCAATTATTTATTTGCCTGAAGAGATTTAAAAATTGTTTTCAAGTTTAATAGTTTATAATTCTTATAATTCAGATGTTAGTTTTTGTAATTTTAATTGACAATCCTAAATTTTTTATTATTGTAATTATTATTATTATGGTTATTTAATTTATTTGAACTTAGATTTATATACTTATTATTTTTATTTTTTTTCTTGTTATTTATTTAGTTGTTTCAATAGATTTTATTAAACTTCAATTTCTTGATTAATTTACTTCATTTTTTATTCTTTCTCCCTTTATTTTTCATCATAATACTTTTTAATCTTATCATGAATATTTTCAATTAGATCTTCAAAAAGTTACTATTCTCTTTTATCAGCTTTTTCGTCTTCTTCATTAATATTTGTATAATTTTATTATTATTCTTATTATTAAGTTTAATCTTCAGCTCCTCCTTTATAAGGAATTTTGTTGGCTGGTGCTGGATTATCACACATAGAACATTATGATGAATCCCACAAATTTTAAGCAAAAGTACATATTTCACATTCCCATAATTTTACAGCTTCTTAGATAGGTTCAGGAGGCAACTCTATTTCAATATTCTCTAAATTTAATAATTAAAATCCATCAATCAAAATAATTGCTTAATTTTAGTTTCTAAATATATCAACTTAAGGATTTAATATTCTTACTTATTGTTCTTGTAATACATCTTAAATATCACAAGGCAATTCTTACATATAAATTAAATTTTCCCATTAATTAGATTATAACATTCCATTAATTTATTCAATTTATTCATTGTATAAAGGTTTACCACATTTAATAAATTCTGCAATTTAAATTAAATGTCTATAAGCATTTAACCAATCTGGAATTTATAGTTTAGTCTTATTAGGAATAGCCACTGCTAACAGTTCAGTAATATCTTAGAGATAAGATGAATACAAAACATTTGGTTCTACTTTTTAAATATTATATATTTTGACAGCATCATTAATTAATTATGATAATAAATTATCTGTTAAAGTTTCATTAGAAATAGTTTACAATTTGCGAATATTTCTAATTAATAATTTTATGATAGATTAATTTAGAATATGTGGTTATTATTCATATACTTTTTCTAAAAGATTATTGATATTCTTCATATTAGGAATGTCTTTGTTTTTAATGAAAATTGTACTCATTTAATCAATAACATAACAGACAGTATTCCATAAAGTAGGAATTTTATAGACAACACAAGGTAAACGAGATACACATGATTTTTATTAATAGATTGGTAAGGCTTCTCCATTAAAATAATATTCACAATAAACATTCTTTTAATTTAATACTATTGGAGATAATCTACCTCTTGTCTCTTTGCCACTGCTTATAGTATAAAAATCGTTTATACCCAATCTATCTTTATAAAAATTGATGCCAGAACAAGTACATAGAGTTGCATCATTCTTAAATACAATAGCTAAACCAGCAATATCTAAATCAGAATTGAGTTCTATAGGTTTTTTTTGTGATTTGACTAAATCCAATAATAATTTATTTTGATGGACAAATTATTGAATTTAATCAAAAGATTTAAATAACCAACTAAATATTAATTCAGGATTCTATAAAAATTGATTTAATTTCTAGTTTATTTTAGTATTCTCATCAATTAATTATTCTGTAAGCCAACCATTAATGCATGAACCTTCAAATTGCATAGCCAATTATAAATAAATGATAGGATCAATATTGATATTTTGACTTAATAATATATACAATTATCTAGCTTATTTACTTAATTCTAAATCTAATTCTTTATTATATTCTTTTAAGATAGTCTCTTATTAATAAGCATTAGCATTTGGAGGAATATATAATTAAATTTATTTCAGTGCACTTATAGGAAACCAAGTAGCATAAAGTTATGAATTATTAATATCCATATGTGTAATCATTACAGAAGATGATCTTTAATCAACACCTATGATTTGTCCACAAATAAAAGTTTGACCTTACTTTTTATAATGTAAATATTCTTTAGAGTATAATTATTCTGATGTTTTATCAATTAGTCTACAAAGTACATATTGTCCAGCTTATACTTCTTCTATTGTTAATGTACTCCAATCATGATTAGACTCAGGTATTATAACACCATTTGGCATTCTCTAATCACATACAATATAAGCTATTTCCAAAGCTCTACTTTATTCTCCTTTTCTCAATTATTAACGTATTTATTCAAAGAAATCTTCTATCTCATAAGGTCTTAATGAACCTTTTACATAATCATATATTTTAGGTAAGATATTCTTCTCCCAATATTGAACTAATTTCAATTCATTTGAGACAATGCAAGCTTCAGGCAATGATTACATGTAGGCACTACCAATTATAATTGTATTATCAATATTTTCCACAAAAGGCTCAATCTTACAATCTTCCTATTCAACTTATTATTTTTATTGTAAGAATGTAATAGATTTAGGGATTTCTATGGGAAAGAAATAATTAGGTTATAATTTACTATCAATTAATCGTTCCCAAGCTTAATTGAACTTGTTATCTCCTTAATAAAGTGTAGCCAAATTTAATATTTTATTAATAATTTTTTCTACATTATATCCTATCCATTCCAATTTACTTGCCATAATGAAAAGATTTCTTAAGATGAATTTATCATTCTCTTTTTCTATCAATTCTAATATCTATTATTGAGTTATTTATTAAGGGATATCTTATTATATTAATTCAATTTCATCTAATTTTACAACTTATAAATTAAGTTTATCATCATTATTTGATAATAATCTAAGTTCTTTTTATCCACAATAGTCTCCACCAGATACAACATATT